CCCTATTTTTCTATAAATTTCAGGGTATGCATACCTTGTTTCCTTTTTAGTGCTTTTGAAAGAAAAAATTAAAAACTAGGAATTCTCAATCTTACTTCTTCAGTTGTGGGACGATCTTTTGGATCAAATGTAAGTAAGCGCTCAAGTATGCGAAGAGCCCCGAGATCCACATTAGGGAACTTCTGTGAGAAAGGAACTGGTGGCTTTTTACGCATGCTACTATGGTATCTCCTTGCCTTTTCATTTCTAATCTTCCAGGTAATGATAGGTGCACCAATAACATTAAAAGTGGCTAAATATTCATGATAACAAATGATGATATATATCTGAATACAGATGGAACTAATGAAAAGCGCATAATATTTTTCTTTAGCACCTAGACTTTGCTAATACGATCAATTCCATGAGCTTATAAAACATGCATAACAAAAAAAGAGATAGTTCTAGTAAAACCGTAACTTGATATGGAAACAACAATTTAAAGAGAAAGGCGCTCATGGACCATAACAGCATATCCAAATGTCATAATCGAGGCATTACTTTTCAACCCTAACAAAGCAATGTGCACAAATAACACCCATAAAGAACAAAATTGAAACATGGGTGTAGGTTAACCACTAAAGCCTTGAGTACATGCTCAGGTGCTATTTTTCGTTTATCATCTCTGTTACAAATTTCATTAGACTCTGATGAAATAAGATTAATGAACTCTGTATGAGGATTGAAGTTTACGTTAGTTACACAAAAACAAAAAACAATTAATACTATCATAACATTATGGTTAGAGACAACAAAATTCCAACGATATGAGAGAAGTGAATATAAATGGTCAATCTACTCGCCAAACAACATTCTAACAATAAAAAGTTTTCCACCTATATCTTCAATGACAACAAATAGTGGTATTATAACCAAATAAGATTACACATTATATGAAAATCTGGAATCAGGTTTTAAAGCCACATTAACAATATGAAATAGTAGATACCATGTTCATCTTCTACACTTCTTTGAAAAAGATTTGATTTTCATGCAATAATAAGAGGTTTTCCGATATGCCAAGACAATAGCAAGTACCTGAATGTTGTGCACTTCCAAAAACCTGCAAGACAGGCCCTGACAGGAGATCTACAGGTGTTCTACATCTTGAATCTTCCAATGTAATAAAAGCACCAGACTGGAGAAGAACACTCGCTACAGCAAGATGACCGCAATGCATAGCCCTATGAAGGCTACTCCACCCAGATTCTCCGTCCTGGAACAAGGATTACGCAGAATAAAAAAAAAAGTGGCTTGAAGCTAATTGCACCATCATACATCTGATATCTCTACGACTTCATGATGTTTAAAAACAAGATCATCGATGTTCTAAAGTAGGATACTTGATAGACATCCACAACGAACTTGAAAACATGTGATCAACAAAAGGATAAGAATTACACACCCTAGCATCAGGATCAGCACCAGAAGCTAGAAGCCTTCGAATAATGGGAATATTGTTTCTCCAAGTTGCAATGTGAAGAGGAGTCAGACCCAAACTGTTCCTTGAATTGATATTACTTCCATTCTTCTTCAATATCACCAATGCAGAATCTACATCAGGCAATGACACTTCTCCCACAACATGCCACAAATCTTTATATGAGGCACCAGATGAGCCTTTTCGAATGGATTTTTGGAGGCTCTATTTATGTCCTTAAGGTGAATTTAACATATCCACAACACTTTAAATCTAGAGATCACTATAAATACTCCTAAAAGTTATTGAAAATTCAAGTTTTGAAGTGACAGTCCCTCCAACAGATTACGACAAGAGCCAAAGATTCTCCAAATGTCTATAAAGAAGTTAGCAAAAGGCAAGAGGTAATAACTTCCTAGCTACTTTATTCCATCTAGTCTATATTTTAACAAGAAATCAAAAAGCTCTAGATTCTAGAATCTAGTTCCATTTATGTGGAGAGTTTGTCAATAACAACATATCATCCCATCATCATCTTCGATGTATTTACAAATATATCTCCTACAAAAAGGCGAACCGATGTGCTGCATTCAAAACTCGTTGTGTCAGTATAAAATACCCTGTAGAGGAAATATGATAACAAAAGAAAAATGAATGATCAACATTAAAAACAACTTAATCACTAAATAGCCAACCAAAATGGAAAATGAAATAAATTCATATGCTAAGAGCCAAAAATGCAAAAACTGTGTCGGAATTAGAGATAGAGAAGATGAAGAAGACAATGGATGTAGACAGATTCATTTCTAGGAAATTTTAATGGTTGATCTAAATAAACAACACAAGCAAAACCTCTAGAACAAAACCAAAATGCAAACTATGAAGCAATAGCAAAAGAGAATAACAGATCAATCATAGTAAACTCAATTTCCAGATCCAAAATTACATGAAATTAACAAAAACCCTTCATTAGAAATCAAACCAACAAATCAAAACTTCACATAAAAATAGTAGCTTACCAAATCAATCAATAAAAAACCAAAAACACAACACCAAGAAGAAAAAGGAAATACCCATTGTAAAATTCTACATAAATTTCACAAAAAAACAACACATAATACAGAAAAGACATCATTTTTCTATTGGAAAGATCAAATTTTAAATCTAACCAGAAAGAGAAATTCCCCCCTGAGAAATCGTTGGATGTTAGAAGAAGAGAAATTTGAACAAAAATTAAGAAAGGGAGAAAGCTCGCGGGGGCAACAGACTCACCGAGTTACTGAGTAAGTACGAGGGGAATTTTTTCCACATATGTAAATAAATGCCAAAACGAGTGAAGCGATTCGTGATCTGAGTCAAGTGGGGGATGAACACGAAGGAAGACATCGATATATGGAGTTAACAGAGATCATTGGCGCTTCACGATAACAGAGGGGGGAAGCCAGTGGACTGATGCAAAGAGAAAAAAGGGGAAGCATGAAGCGGGAAATGATGAAAATAATGGGAGAAATTAAAAGACGACTTTTACAGATGACACACAATTAAAAGTGTACTCCGTGTTTTTGTAATTTTTTTGGATTATGACTATTAAATATGACACGCATAATTGTAAGTCATAAATCGTTCAAATTTTAAAAAACATGACATTTTTTTATGACACATATTTTTTGCAAGTCATAAATTAGCGTGTGTCATAGTTCGTGTGTCATTAAAGGTATATTTTCTTGTAGTGGTGGTTATATATGCTACCACTTGATTAGATGAAAAATATTAAATTTAAATAAAATTGTAGTAAAATTTATAGAATATGTAAATATCAAAAATTAAATTTATAATTATATTAATTTATTTAACGGTCACACCAATTTATTTATTAATTATTGACAATTTATGGTACGATTGATAAAAATAATTAGATGATATAATTGATAAGATTAAAAAATCAGTCCTCATATTGAAAAAAATAATTAAGTAGTAGTAATAAATATAGTTTACTATTGGCGATATAAAAATAAAAAAATTCTATATTCGCCATCTCCCATTGTTTTTATTTGGTAAACTATGTCAATAGTCATTAATGTTCAGGTAAGAATTCATTTCATCACTGATGTTTGAAAAGTTACAAATCTTTTACTAATGTTATTATTTATTACAAAATGGTCACTAATGTTATCGTTTGTTACAAAATGGTCACTCGACGTTAACAGTCGTTAAGAAATTGTTACTACAATAACAGAATACTGACGTGACACATTAAACTAGTTGACTCAGCATGTTTGACCGACCTTTTGACTCTTCTTCTTCTTCTATCAGCTGATCGGATTCATATCTCCAAAACAACGATTTTACTCGATAAGCTTAATATCTATAGGTTATTAAGTCTATTGCAACACATTGTTTTTATTAAAAGCATTATTTTACTGTCTCATATTCTCATTCATGTATATCAGTATATACGCATATGATAATTGCGACGAACAATCTTATTTCATGTTATTCGAACTGAGACTACCAGGAATAATGTCCCAGACCGCAATAGCCAGAACCTATATTCAAATATATATATATGGAAACACCATTGAACAACTTAAAGCCTTAGTGAAAGAGCCAACAAGTGTTAAATGAAAGGGTAAGAGAATTATGTGATTCTTACATATTATCATAGAATTCACAAAAGCAGCAAATGGTGAAATGTAAAATACCATTATGACAGTCTAAATGAAGAACGCTATGGGTTTAAAGAATTATTGTTGACATCAACCTTGGTAGAGAAGCTTTACCTTGAGAACAAATTCCATTGATTCAGCGATGAAGCCCAACCAACCACCATTTTTCTGCGTGGCAGCGTCAGTCGACCTGATAGCGGTGGCGACTTGATCCGCTTTGCAGGAGGCTCTCAGCTTTGGTAAAAAGTGCTTGGAAATTGACGGAAGAGTCAAGTAAAGTAATCGGAGGGATACTATTTAATTATTTGGCTCAACACTTCTTACATATTTTTTGCATTTTTTGCAGGACATATCCCTAAGCCATCGTCAAGGTTGTGGAGTTTGCTTTGGAGATATGAATCCGATCAGCTGATAGAAGAAGAAGAAGAAGAGTCAAACGATCGGTCAAACATGTTGAGTCAGTTTATTTAACATATCACTTCAACATTCTGTTACTGTAATAATGATTTGTTAACAACATCAAGTGACCATTTTATAACAAACGATAACGTTAGTTATCATTTCGTAACAAACGATAACAGTAGTGATGTATTTGTAACTTTTCAAACATAAGTAGTGAAAACGAACAATTACCTAAAAATTAGCGACCATTGACATAGTTTACCCTTTTTATTTTCCTTAAATTATTATATAACAACGCCGTTTTGGCGATATATCGTCTCATAAACCCTAAAGTAAACCCTAACACACCGTCTTACTTTGTTTCCTCCATATCATTCTTGTGTTTCTTGAACCTAAGAGAAAAGTCATTCTTAGGTTTCCCGGTTGCAGAAAAAACAAGGATTTGGGTGGATTTTCTTCTAAATTTTAGTTTAATGTTCAGCATCAATTTAAATGAGTGGTTTGATGGTTACCCAAATTTAGATGGGATTAAGTTAGAAGAGAGTGAATTTGAAGATATTGAGAGCATTGTGGAGATTTGTAAAGAAGCTAGCTTTGAGAGAACCCATGTTGGCGACCTTGGCGCTAATGGGTCAGAGCCGGATTTTGATGGGTTCAAGTCAATTGTTGATGGATCTGCGCCGGTTGCAAGTGAGTCAGACCGTACGGTGAAGTTGGAAGAAGACGAGTCAAAACCAGATGTGGAGCTGGGTTTGTCTATTGAGGAGTCAAAGCCAGAAGATTTTGACGTGTTCAAGCCAACTATTTGTGGGTCTGAGCCGGTTCGAGGTGAATCAGGCTCTACAGTCAAGGTGGAAGAAGAGGAGTTTAAACCCGACGGGATTTCGAGTTTACCTATTGAGGAAGTGATCGGTAAGGTCAGTTTGGATGATGGATTAGAGAGTGGTAGTAGTAGTTCAGAGTCCGACTGCGAAAGTTCGTCGTCATCATCTTCTAGTAGTAGCAGTGATGATGATGATGATGATGACGAGGAGGAGGAGGAGATGAAGAAGAAAAATGAAGGTGGAGGCTGTGGATGGTGTAGATGAACTTGAAGAAGGTGAGATACTAGATAGTGATGAAGAGGTGGCCGTTGATGGAACCACCGATGAGGAGGAGGAGGAGGAGGAAACAGACGATATCCTTAGTGCGTTAGATATTGAACTTGAGGAAGTTGATGATGAGGATGCTGGTGCTTCAAAAGGTCCCATCAGGTCTAAGAATGAAACAGAGGTAATTGATTGTAGCTTTTGGTTATGTATTTTATCTTTATATGACTTTTGATAGTTTAGTAATTGTTTTCTTGATTTTTAGATACTTGTGTATTTGTATAATGTTTGTATGATTGTTCTGTGTTTCTGAATGGTGTCTAATATTTCCAAGGTGTTAAAGTTATTATTTTGGCTCAGTAAGATGGCAGATTAAGTTTGTAATGAAACCATGTCATAACCACTCAAATTACTCTAGGCTGTCTCGTAGCAAATATATGCATTCATATACTTTCATGTCGTAATATTACTTACATTAACCTTGTCTACAACCGGAGCCTTATTTGGTTAAGTTTGGAGTTTAAGTCAGCAAAACTGAAAGGCATATGTTCCATGCAAAACGTTGAACTTTATTGCAGTGTGATTCTTGTTTCCAGAGATCAGGCTCTTCAGCGCACCCTGTTCTTGCCCCTGGAAACCTATGTCTAGACATCTCTTGTATGCTTTCTGTAATTCTGAACCATTTGAAGTTTGTAATGAAACTAGGTCATATCCACCTAAATTACTCGAGGCTGTCTCATAGCAAATCTGTGCATTCATATACTTCCATGTGGTAATCTCACGATAACCTCATGTCTACGATCGGAGCCTTATTTGGTTAAGTTTGGAGTTTAAGTCATCAAAACTGAAAGGTATATGCTCCGTGCAAAACGTTGAACTTTATTGCATTGTGATTCTTGTTTCCCAGAGATCAGGCTCTTCAGCGCACACTGTTCTCACCCCTGGAAACCTATGTCTAGACATCTCTTGTATGCACTCTGTAATTCTGAACCATTTGAAGTTTGTAATGAAACTATGTCATATCCACTTAAATTACTAGAGGCTGTCTCATAGCAAATCTGTGCATTCATATACTTCCATGTGGTAATCTCACGTTAACCTCATGTCTACGCTCGGAGCTTTATTTGGTTAAGTTTGGAGTTTAAGTTATCAAAACTGAAAGGTATATGTTCCGTTGAACTTTATTGCATTGTGATTCTTGTTTCCCAGAGATCAGTCTTTTCAGCGCACTCTGTTCTAACCCCTGGAAACCTACTTCTAGACCTCTCTTGCGTCCTCTCTGTAATTCTAAACCATTTGACAAAAATAGCTATTACTGAAGTTAAAATTTTGGCAAGGTATGATGCCTGAGTCAGTTTTGAAAAAATATTCTGAGTAAACGATATTAAATTCGGCAGGTTCTCCCCCCAGTTCCACCACTGGATGTTGAACTACAACCCCATCACCAAATGCTGCCTGTTGGAGTTATTTTGTCGGTAAGCTCAAGTTGGATTGTCTATTGCAAACTACAAAGGCCAAACCTTGAAGTTTATTCAAATTTTATTAACTCTAATATACTTATGTTTCAGAGATTGGCCACTTTTTTCTGCCGAGTTTAAGTCTAATGATGTTCCTTACACTGTTACAGATGGTTGGTACCAAAGTTATTGTTGAAGGAAGAGATCGGCACAACCCTTTGAACGAAGGTTCTATTCTTTGGATATCCATGAACAGATCTCCACTTGGATTTGTGGATGAAATCTTTGGACCTGTAAAAAACCCATACTATATAGTACGGTATAATTCTGAGAGTGATGTTCCTGCTGGGATCCATGAAGGCATTTCTATATCTTTTGTTCCCGAATTTGCTAATCATGTTCTCAACGATAAGAATCTTCACAAGAAAGGATATGATGCATCTGGTGAGAATGATGAGGAGTTGTCAGATGATCCCGAGTTTTCGGACGATGAAAAAGAGGCCGAGTACAAGAGGATGCAAAAAAGGACAAAGAGAGGCATGAATAACCAGAGAGTGGGAAACCAGAAAAGCAATAAGAAGAAAGTTAGAAGTAAGAATGGAGTGTGGAAAACTGATAGGAACTCGGCCCAGCAAACATCAACAACAGCAATGGGTCAACCTCCACGTAATCAGAATCAACATAATCTCTCCACAGTCTCGGCATCTTTGGTCAATCATAATGGTTCATCGACTGTCGTGGGACAACAAAATTTTGTTGGTGGATCCGACTTTGTCCCACCGTTTCCTGTCATGCCACCGTCTTCTGGTATTGTTGCACCTTCAAATGGAGTTTGGAATAATGGAATGCCAGTCCAGCATTCACAGAATACAAACTTTCCGAACGTGTTTTCTGCAGAAGGGATGTCAGTGCTGTCACAGAATTATCCACAGCATCCTATTCCTTCGCCAAACCCTGCAATATCTATGCCAAACATGATGTCATATCAGCAGCAGCAATTTGACCCGAGTTTGAGTACACTAGCCAATATGGTCTTACCTAGTGGTCAGTCGAGCTTATTTGCTGGACCGGCCTCTGCACCTTGGCTCGGAATTGCTGGTCAAAATAGCTTTAACCAAAGCCCATTTGGAATGGGTATGCATGCCCAACAACTCTTTAGTGCATTACAAGGTATTGTAACAAATGGGCCTAGAGTGGATGGGAACTGTAATTTGCAACCCAATGGTGTTCAAGGCAACTTTGAATCATCCCATAACTTTAACATTGGTGCACCATCTAGTCGTGGAAGAAAACCTTATCATCAAGGCCGTGGACGAGGCGGAAGAGGTCATCGGCGATCTTAAGAGAAATGGGCCTTCCGGTGTTGCTTGATATAGGTAAAACCGTATGTTTGGTGTGCGACTTTTTGTTGGATGTTTGAAATATGAGAGATTTAAGGTAGCATTGAATATTCCTGTTTATATTAATCAAGCCTATTCAAGTTTCAGTTCCCAATTCTTTCATATCTATTGAAGGTGCCGTGTTCATGTACTCGGAAACCAACAATGACAACTGAGGCTGAAATCAGAAGAGGGAGGCCGTGAAAAGAATAAAAATCATCCCATTTCTAGCTTCAAACATATGACAAACATCAAGATTTATATCATCATTTTATTATTCAAACATATATATTTCATGCTTCTGCATCCCAATACACGTGCTTGATTCTTCATTTTCCCGAAATGATACCCATCTAGCTCAGTTAGTAGAGCGTAAGGTTCTTAACCTTGTAGTCGTGGGATGAGTCCCGCTGAGGACAATTCATAACGGAGGTCTTCCACGGAAGCTTCTCTCAACCTAGCGTTGAGGGCAGCCTATTACCCTACCTCCCTCTTATCTCATTACATATGAGAATAGAGTCAGTTAATTATACATCGCAAAATAAACAAAATAGATTATGCCAGACGAGTACATTGTTATAACTAGGAATGTTGGAATGAAATTCAGTAAAATGGATTACATGGTCACATGCAAAAGATAAAGAACAAAATAGAGCATTTTTCAAATAGCAGCCAAGTATACTTGCCGGTTCTAAGCTGTAATCCTTCTCCCATACTCAAAAGAGTTCATTGCTTCTCGATTCTTCGACATCGTTCGAATCATTGGTTGCTTCACCATTGGCAGCAAGTTTGGTAAAACCATCAGCTGCTCTTTCAATCGAATGATTAGCATTACTCACAGACTCTACATCATTCTCAATCATATCATCTCCATTTACTTGATCAAGCAACACCAGGCTCTCCATGAAAGTAGAAACATACGAGCGTGTTCCTTGAATCCCAAAAAAACCAAGTTCACTTCTCTCAGGATCAAGGGAAACCAGTTGCAGATTATCATAAGCTCCTAATATCAAATTCCCATTTTTCATAAACCCCAGAACCCTTGGCATCGGCTCAGGGCCTGGATTCGCAATACTGAACATCTTAGTCCAAGTTTCTACAACACCATATTTCTTCATCACCCATATATTACACTGAGTATGTAAACACCCCAACTCAACCACAGCAATTGATGACAATTCTTCATATGGAATTACATATATCTCTGACTGGTTGGGCAAATTCCTCAAATTCCCAGGCAACATAATCTCTTTGAAAACATCATCCCTCATATCAAACCCCATAATAAAATACTTACACCTATAAACCCCTTGATCTTCCACTCTTTCATAAGCAATCCATGAACAATTCCATTCACAAAAACCATGAAATCGTCGGAGTAAAGACCATATCTTAGCGGAGCTAAAATTCGCCACGAATTCCTTCTGAAAGAGTAAAGCTCAACCTCAACAAACATGTCCAATACATTTTCCTTGGTGATTTTCAGAAGTTTATAGTCATTTTTCACGGAATCAAACCCAAACCCAACGGAAATTTTATACGGTAAGTTACGCAAACATGGTTTTGGGAGCGCAATAGACTTTTTAATAATTGGGTTGCAGAGGGTGAAGATTATATCGAAACTAAACTGAAAGTCTATCAAACAGAGCAACCCATTGCAAGAACCAACAACAACAACAAAATGATGGTTATCAAATGGCATGTATTCTAACTGGGTGTACTTACTGAATTCTTGGTCATCGAAGTGCAACGAGTATTCAACTTGATGGCGGGCAGTCATGACAAAGAAGAGATTTTTGTTGTCGTTGTTGTTCCTGAAACGAAGCTTCGAGTGATGGCTGGCATGGCTGGAAATGAAGAATGGGTTCTTGACGAGAAAATTCCAGGCTTTGGAAACGCACATGCATTTCCCAAGGGATTTGGCTGGAAGTCTGTAGAAGATCTCCAGTAAGATTTCTTCGGTGATATGGTCCGGAAACGTTGCTTCTCTTGACATCCTTTCTGGGTCAGAATCTGTAATGCGAATTTCAATGGCTGGTTTTTTGTGTTTCTTTGTTGTGTATTGTTTGGATGGAGAGAAAATGGTAGCTCTGTTTTTCTACTTTCGTCGGTTGATAATATTGTTGCTTCACGGCTCTCCCTAGTCCTGGAAGTAAAGATTACGATTCATTTAACTGCCTTATAAATATCTGGCCAAATGAATAATTATTTATAAATATCTTGCCCTCTGATTAAATTAAGGAATATAATTTCGAATCTTTAATAGTTTTTTTTTATAAATAATTTCACTATAACTTTTTTAAGAATAAATTACATAAATAGCTATTAAAGTATCCGTAAATCTTCTTGTTAATATTAAGTTTTAAAAATAATAAAATAATTAATAATAATAATATTTTATTATAAATTGATCACTCGTTCATTAAATATTATATTTCTATCATAGAAAATTAATTTAACATATCTAAGGGGAAAGAATAAAGAAAATATATGATTTAAATCCATCTCTTAATATGACATTTAAATTAAAATAAATTTGGAGAAACCTACCAAAAGTGAGATTTAAATTAAAATAAAATTTATAGAGAGATTCACATAGGATGTGAGTAAAGATTTTAAGTTTTTTTTTAAATAATTGTAAATATTCAATTTATTTATTAATTGATCTTAATCGAGTGCTATAAGATCCATCATAAGGTAACTCTTTCAAGTTAATTTATTTCATTTACAATGTTAAGATTTAAATTTCAGATTTTATTTAAAAATCTAATATCTTATTACATAAGACCAACTAATTATAATATATTTATAATATTATTATTTTTATAGTGTGATGTTAACGTATGCTAACACGAAAGTTTAAAAAAATATTCTTTTTATTTCATCACAGAATCCTTTTTATCAAAATTATAATATTTCATCATAAATAAATAAAAATTAATGTTTCATTAATTTTAAATCGTAGTAGAAACCGTCACTTTTTGATATCTTTTATGTCCACCTTAAATATTAATAAACTTTTTCTATTACCTTTTACATTAAATCGATGTCTTTATCTCGTCCTCGAATTAATAAATTTATTTACCATTTAACGATGCTTGACATAATTAAATTTAAAATTTAATGTTACAATTATATAAATTTATAATTTAATAATAATTTTTTTAAAAAAATTACATAATATGATATGATTTATACTTAAGTTCATACTTGAGCATATTTATCTATATCAGAATTCAGAATAAATATTTAAAATTGATTATGGTAAAGCTGGGGTGAAACCCTAAAATAAAGGTTACAAATACGAACCCTGTAAAATAATTAGGGATTATCTCAGGAAAGGCGGGTTAATATACGGCTAATATACGGCGTTACCAGATACATTAAAAGATATTTAACAAATTCGATTTAGCACTATCGGAAATGTTGACTAATAATAATGTAGTAGGTCTAAGTCATGAAGAAATATTAAAAAATTGTGCAACCGGCAAACTTAACTTGTCGGTTCGTGTCGATCCAAATTAAAAATGTGTCGATCCAAAACGATATAACAGGTAAAACTATGTCAAAACCGGTATTGAAATGATAAAACCGGTAAAGCGCTACCAGATACATTTAAAGTGTCGGTATTTTAATATAAGGATCGACACTTCGTGAATTTAAAAGAGAAGCAGTTTTAAATCCTATAAAGTGTCGATACTTTTAAAAAATGTATCGATCCAAAACGATATACTAGGTAAAAATATAATAAAACCGGTATCAAAATGATAAAACCGGTAAAACGTTACCGGATATATTGAAAGTGTCGATACTTTATATAAGGATCGACACTTTGTGAATTTAAAAGAGAAGCAGTTTTAGCGCCTATAATGTGTCGATACTTTAAAAAAAATATTGATCCACAACGATATAACATGTAAAAAATATGATAAAATCGGTATCAAAATGATAAAACCGGTAAAACGATACCGGATATATTGAAAGTGTCGATACTTTCGTAAGTACGTGTAATAAATTATCGACACTTTCAAAGAAATAGGTAATTATCCTTTCGAAAGTATCGACACCTGACATAAAAGTATCGACACTTTTGTATTTGTATCGATTAAATATAAATAACATATCCGATGAAAATATAAATGCCATATCTAAATATCCTCTGAAAATCGATAGAACGGACGAGTTTTTGAAATCGAAGCGTAATTGTTGCTGCATTTCAGAAGGCGTTTCTAAAGCGATGTTTGTTTGTTTGTTGATGCAGTCGAATCGAAAAGTATGTTGTCGAAACCCTAGTTTTTTATTATTACAGTAATCGCGAATAGAGTTTTTATGTATTGTTTGGGGTTTTGGAGTAAAGAAGCATTTGGGATCGATTGCAGGTAGAAAGTGATATTGAAGGTAAAATATAAATGTCGATACTTTTATTAAATATTATAGGTAGAAAATGATATTATAGGTTGTATAAATGTGCCGACACATTTTGTAGTGGCCATTCAAATTCTTTTGAAGAAAACCGTTTTACCACAAGAGTAGTTATCTATATTTGTATATTGAATAAAGTGTATGTAACAAAATAATTTGATTTGCGTAAACTGATATATGAAGGAAAAATGGAGTCAATGGGTTGGAAAATTGTTGGTGGCGCAGATGACTTTGAAATTGAGGCCGAAACTCGAAAGCAACCAAAGGGTGGATATATGTACTTCTAGTAAGTATCAATGTCTTTTTGTTATTATTGTTGAAATGGTAATTAGATTAAAGTATCGATAAACTTTAAATTGATTACAAATTTTAAATGTTGACAGTATGGCCGAATGCAAAAGGATGAAGGAAGATGGCACACAGAGCGTTCGGTATGTAAAATGAAATTGACATTGAGTAGTATTTAGTGTTAATGTATTGATTAAGAAACGTTATGTTTAATATTAGGTGACAAAAGATGTGAGGTCTAAATGGAATTCAATGAGTGATGCTGAAAAGGAACCTTACATCACACAGTCAAGGAATGATAGTA